TGTATTAAATTATTAATATAAGCCCACAATTTTATACAATATCAAATTAACACCTACAAGAACTAGAATCACTCCCTTTCTTATCTTTTTCTTCTTGAATGTCTTCAGTAGATGTATCTCCTCTTCTAACTTCATCTTTGGATAATGAATTATATCCAAGATCAGACTGGCCACCTAGAAGGAAAAAAAAAAAGAAGCAAAATCCCTATGGTGTTTATCATAAACTTCTTTACTGAGAAATGGAATTAGGAGTAACACATTACTATTCTGATTTATTTATAGAAATTTTTCTGGATAACTTTCATTGGAAGCATTATTTTGTTAGGTTCCATCCCCCATCTCTATTAAAGTAAGAAAGGGATAATATTAAAATAATTTATTTTTGGCTCCATGCTGCAGTCAAAAGCATATACATGCACACTACTAGCTGGGCTCCAAAAGATAAAGACAAACCAGATATTCTTTATACAAGTCCATAACCTTCCTAGTAAAAGTCTGAGTTCCAACTAAGCAATGAAGAAAAATCTGCATGGAATTCATAACAAGACCTTCACACACAGGAAGCTGAATGTCTAAATAATTTTACCCAAAAAAAGGGTTTATGTAAGTTTATAAGTAAGTAATTACTTTTTCTGAAAATTCAATAGAATACTGAATTGCACTTAAGTACAAATACATGAGAATGAGAAAAAGAATATGTTAAAGTTATTTTTAGGAAATGCAAAAGTTGCATTGTTAAAAAAAAACTTCTGATATATTATAGTATTGTTAGAGGCTCTCTACTTTTCAGCAAATTATTTTCACTAGATTAGCATCAAGACATAAGGTTTTGAAACCTAGTTCTCTATCCTAACAGACATAATTTTAAGTAAACCATATAACCTTTTTTGTTTGGATCTCTAATTCCAAGATTTATAATACACACGGTTGTTATGATTATATGAGAAACTATATATGGTATGGCTTAAATACTTGTAAAGAACTATTTAAAGGAAACTTTATCACCAGGTATTTAATACATTTGTTATACTTTTGAGTTTGTACTTTTAATAATCAATTTTTCAGCTCTATTCCCAAATAAATAAGTTAAAAATGTGAAAGATAATCTTGAAATTCATGCTTTCATTATGTCCTGTACTGTTATAAGATAGTATTTTTTTTAAAAAAGGCCATAGTTAAAAACAAAAGATAGACTTCTTCATTTTTAAGAGATAATGCCTGAGGATGACTGCAATGACTAATTATATTCACATTGTATAATTAATAAAACCAGCCCTATAAAAAACTATAAAAATTACATCTCAACACAACTAGCTTATATGTATATTCTTAAAAGAAGGCATAAAAGGAGACCAGCCAAAATGTTACTGTTTGCAGAGATAGTAAAACTTTATATTTTATGCCTTTATAGAAGCATTTATATTTTATTAATGGTTGGAGTTTTAAATTTAAAATTTCTGTCTATTAAGAGCTAGCTCCTATATTTGAAAAGCATACGTAATTTTTAAATATAATAATAAAAAGAACAGAATTATTCAAGTAATTTATTTTTAAAATGTCAGTTTTAATATTAGAGAAGGATATGTACAAACCTATTTTAATGAAATTAATACCATCTTCAGTGCTAGAAAGCTACACATTTTATATATAATTAAATTACTTATTTGTAACTTTTATTTTAATACTAGAGGCCCAGTGCACAAAATTTCTGCACTGGGGGGGGCCCATCAGCCTAGCCTGCACCCTCTTGCAGTCTGGGAGCGCTCAGGGAGATGTCTGACAGACAGCTTAGGCCCACTCAGTACAGCCTTAGCACTGCCTCGGAGGCAGGAGGGGCTCCTGCCACTGCCGTTGCACTGGGCAACTGTGAGCCTGGCTTCTGGCTGAGCAGCGCTCCCCCTGTGGGAGCGCACTGACCACCAAGGGGCAGCTCCTACACTGAGCATCTGGTCCCTGGTGGTCAGTGTGTGTCATAGCAACTGGTGATTCTGCTGTTTGGTCGATTTGTATATTAGTCTTTTATTATGTAGGATAGTTTAAGACTCAGAAGGAATTGCAAAAATAATACAATACAGAGAAAGCTCCTGTGTACCATTTACTCAGCTTCCCCCAATAATAATATCTTATATGAAACAGTAAATTGATGTTGACTTTTAACTCAGAGCTATAAGTTTCGTTATTTAAACCTTTAATTAAATTTTCATATTTACATAGAACTTATCCTATAAAATTGATATGATGAAGAGATCTGTGTGCCATCCAGAGTTAATTAGATTATCATAGACTAAATATTTAAATAAATTTTTATTTCTAGTCAAATAAAGAATGAATAAAATTGCATATATTTATTAAGTGCAATATCAAATCAAATGCCTAACATATAAAATTAAAGTGACAGTTAAGTACATCGTTGAAAATTAAAATCCTGAAAAGATCAGAGAGAAAATCTAATTTTAAAATGTACTTTAATATATGTATACATAAGCACAAACAAACCTGTACTAGATCTATCATCAGTAGCATATACTTTGATTAAACCCGTATTAAAAGGTGCCTGCTCCACAGTGTGTGTCCCATGACCACTATCCATGCTGCCATGACTAACAGCATCCAGGTCACTGCCATCTGCTTAAGAACACAATTTGACAGCGTTTTACTACTCAGGGAGATACCAAAAACACACATCAGTTTGCTGCTCAAGCTAATATCTATTAATACTGAATACAAAAAGTGCCACATAATTAGCAAAATATAACTGTTAACAAAGAACGCTACTGTGAATCATCAACGAATACTAAAACAAGACCACCAACAGTTGATAGTTTAAGTTACAAGAAAAAAAGTAAAATTTTGTGTTTTTTAAATGTGAAGAATATGCCAATTAAAATTTGCTTAATGGCTGCCGAAACTGGTTTGGCTCAGTGGATAGAGCGTCGACCTGCGGACTGAAAGGTCCTGGGTTCGATTCCGGTCAAGAGCATGTACCTTGGTTGCAGGCACATCCACAGTAGGGGGTGTGCAAGAGGCAGCTGATCAATGATTCTCTCTCATCGATGTTTCTAACTCTCTATCCCTCTCTCTTCCTCTCTGTAAAACATCAATAAAATATATTTTTTAAAAAAGAATTTGCTTAATGGCAATAAAAACTAGAAAACATTCTATAACTTGAAAGTATTTAAAATTTCTAAAAAATGTAAAGTATAACATGTCAATTAATTTTAAAGAAAAATTTAAACATAAACATCCTTAAAAATCTTTAATTACCTGAGAGAGTTGTTTGTGATAAATGTGCATGTTTCTTTAAAGTTCTTTTGAACTGTGCTACTCCTAAAACAACGTTTCTTAATTTTGTCCAAAGATAATAGCCATTATGACTTCGTGAAGGCCAGGTACTTTCTAAAACAGCCTATTTGTTCAACAAAATAAAATAATTAGTATAATAATTTTTATAAATGAACACATTGGCTGTAGATTCAAACTAAAGAATATCTAAGTAGATTGTATAACACAAAATAGTACAAAAATTTTACTTGATTTACAAAATATATTTTAAATAGTCTAAAATAAATGTCAAATAAACCCTGCATCAGCAGCTTCTGCCATTAAATTAAGGTTGTATAATCACAAAAGTTATACTCTTTCTCCATGAAATAAAAGTAATTACCTTATTATAATAACCATAAGTAATGGCATTGGGGTCAATACCAGCTTTCCGCATTTCAAAAAGCACTCGAACTGCAAGCACTGGCTGATCATATTGTCCACAGAGCTGCATGAGAATGCGGTAGCACACCTGAAACACAGTTAAGTTCAAAAGCGTACAGAAACAAAAACACCTATGAACATAAATATAGAAATAATGCATTTTAAAGATAATTGCTACCTCATCAGGTGGATCCATCTTCTTTGACTGCATTTTTTTAAGCACATCATATGCCGTTTGCAGCGCCCTGACTTTTGAATGACATACTTTCACATAAGCTGGGAGACAAATAAACCATAGTCCATAACAGTGACGCAGCAGACACCGAGACCACATCTGAGGAATGGAAGAATACCGCTTGGCAATTTTATGGGCTGATTTAATTTCCTAGGGAAAAATGTAAGGATCTTATTAATAAATTTATACACAAGGCATTCTTATTTAACTGCATGTTGAACAGGTATTAAGTCACTTGCTTTTATAATGTTTCCCTAGTAAAATCTGCTTATAATTAATATATATTCAAGTCTCTGCTTGAATTTGTATTATATCATATAGAAAATAAAGTTCTAGACAAGAGAACTAGTTAACGTTTTGAAGTCTGCTTACTCTAAATTATCTTCAGAATACTTCAGGGAGCTTAATCTAGTCACAGTTATATGTGAGGTGGTAAAGTATATTAAGGGAGGATGAGTGTCATATTTACTTTTGTTCTAATATTTGGTTACATGAAATACACAAAAATTTAAAAGCACCTGTTTTGTTCTTCTGAACATAGGAGAAGGACTACTAGGACTACTTGATTTTGAAGGCAATTTGCTCTTTCGTGTTTGTAGAAATCCTTCAGGTCTCTCAAATAAACTGTTCCTAAGAACTGGAAATCCATTATAGCTGTTTTTGAAAAGAAAAAGAAAATCTCAAACACACATGGATTATATCATACTGGTTACACGCTAAAAAAATGTATGACCAATAACTTCTTAATTTACAATTTATCCTGTGGTTTCTCCATCAGACTGGGATATATACTCAACAAATATTCATGCTAATGTTGCTTTTCTTATTATAATATTTGGAAATGTAATAGCCAAACATAAACTCAAATATATATTTTGGAGGAAAAAGTTCTGCTGAATTGACATTAAACTACAAAGTAACTCAAACACTTTGGTAGTATTTGTGTAAATATATAGCAAACTTATCAGATATTATGACAGTTGATAAGACAGTCATTAATATCATTATTTGAATTAACTAATCACTGCAGAATTTCCCTCTTAAAAAGATGTAAATAACAATGCTCACTTTGGAAGCACATATACTAAAATTGGAACAATACAGAGATTAGCATGACCCCTGAACAAGGATGACATGCAAATTCATGAAGTGTTCCATATTATAAAAAAAAAAAAGATGTAAAAACATATTAGCACACCAGAACAAGCTCTCATATTGTCGTGAATTGGTTTATCAGGTTAGCTAGGAGGTTTAGGGCCTCATTTATCGGGATGGGGGGGATGAAGAGGGTAGAGAATAGGAAGGAAAAGATTAGACTAGGTAGCTCTTTGAGGAAGAGGGTTTAATTTGGGTGCTAGTGAACATGTTTGGGCATTTAAGATATTGGTAGCTAAGAAAAAGACATACTGAAAAGAACAGAAGAAGCCTCTGAACAGCAAAGGTAACCTAGTTTTAATATCCTTAAATAGTTTTAATTAATTAAGAAGAAAACAATAATAAAAGACGGCAAACTATATCAATTATATAAAAGCAAATTCAGTTGAGTAATAAAATATTGGTAATGACTAAATGTTAAACAGCAATAAAATCTCAAAGTTCAGGAAAATCCTGACCCTTAAAAATTCTTTGTATGTATATGGTGTGATAAGACCATTCTGTGTATCCTATAGAAACTTACTGCCTTATCATTTTATATAGAAAATGTAAGTATATGATCATCTATTTTTTAAAAATATATTTTTTTATTGATTTTTTTTTACAGAGAGGAAGAATAGAGAGAGATAGAGTCAGAAACATCAATCAGCCACCTCCTGCACCCGCCCCCCATATGGGATGTGCATGCCCCTGACCAGAATCGAACCCAGGATCCTCCAGTCCACAGGCCGACGCTCTATCCATTGAGCCAAACCCGTTTTAGCTATGATAAATTCTTATTAAGAGAGCAGACAGTGCTCATTAAAGACATTTAAGTTGTTTCAAGTAATGGGGATGATTACACCAAAATTATAATGGGTAGTTTCAGGGGGAAAAATAAGTTAGATTCTTTAAAAAAGGGGAACTTTTTAAGCTAAGTGATTTTATTGTTAAAGGACTAAATCTCAAAGTAAATTTTTAATTAAAAGGTTAAAAACAAACCCCAAAACCCCACAAAAGTATATTAGTAAACATACCAAAAGAAGTCTTAGAAATATCATGTACAGCCCTGGCTGTTTAGAATGTCAGCCCTTGCACAACAGGATCTCAGGTTTGATTTTAGGTCAAGGGCACATACTTGGGTTTTGGGTTTGCTCCCTGCCACTGGTCAGGGCATGTTTGTGAGGCAACTGATTGATGTTTCTCTCTCTCCCTCTTTATAAAATCAATAAAAAATGTCCTCAGGTGAGGATTAAAAAAAATGAGTGAGCCTGGCCAATGTGACTCAGTGGTTGAAAAGTATCGACCTATGAACCCGGAGGTCACAGTTCAATTCCAGGTCAGGGCACAGACTGGGGTTTCAGGCTCGATTCCGAGCAGGGGCATGCAGGAGGCAGCCGACTGATTCTCTTTCATCATTGATGTTTCTATCTTTCTCTCCCTCTCCCTTTCTCTCTGAAGTCAATAAAAAAATATGTATTTTTAAAAATGATATGAATAATATCATCAATAGATGTAAAGGGCAGGAATCAAGTGGCCTATGAATATTTATAAATATCGGTTATACCACTTTTTAAAATTTAATAATCTGGGTTCTAAATAAGGATGTCCTGAAAAATCCTTTCTTAATGAAATTAACTAACTGTGACTTAATGAATGATAGGTGAGAAATGGTTTTAGAATCTTTAAAGTAAGAAATATTACTAGAGAAGAAATAAATAATTTAAAATCTAAAAGGAAATACGACTTTAAGTAAAAATAAATATATACTGGAAACTAACTATAGTATATAACAAATGTATATACACAAAATATATCTAGATAGATAGATGTATAATAAATCTACCTCTATTAGGACTTTTCTATAGATTTGAAGACAGGAACTGTGTGTCATTCAAGTCTAAAAACCAAGCACTTAGCAGCAACTGGTCAAATTCCTTCAATTAATAACCATCAATTCCAATCGTTCTGAATCTCCTTTACTTAAAATAAAAATCATGGAATAATTAATAACCTAAAAAATTACACATTAACCAATGTGTGTGTTTATGGGGATGGGGAGTGAGGAAACCAGCTTTAGTAAGAAACAAAAACCAAAATTTTATAATAAAAGTGCTGCATTTTGGTGGGGGTAGAGTCCTAACTGAATGCAATCAACATTTATGAGAACAGATACTTATGCAGATATAGAACTTCCCATCCCCAAATCTATATTATGCAAAATTATAATTTTTTTCTTTTTAGACCTCAAAACTTAATAATGGATGTGGGATAAGCTTGCTTACCACCTAAAAATTAGGGATCTGTAAAGTTTGGATTTTTGAAAATACCACAGTCCTTAGAAAGCTACGTCACAGATGATGGATTGCTTCTCTCTTTCAATCTCACACATTCGCCTCTTGAATACCTGTACTGTAAAGGGGGTTCTTCACCATTGGGTAGATGGGGGATCTCAGGTGGTGTTACAAAAACAGTATGTTCACTTTTGAAAGATTCATCCAGTTCTATAAGTCGCATTTCACCACTTTTGTCCATATCCACCTGAAGGAGTTTAAAAAAAGCATATATTAAAAACACACACATCACAATGGTTAGCCAAGTGTTCATCTATAGGGGAATGGTTAAATAAACCATGTATACAACTGGGTACTATAGAGCTATTAAATAAATGAATGAGCAGGTTGTCTATGTATGACTATAGAAAGATCCCCAAGATAATTAAGTGAAAGTAACAAGGTACAGAGCATTATATATAGTGAACTAATTTTTTAGGAAGAAAGGAGCCTTGGCCAGCATGGTTCAATGGTTAGAGAGTCATAAGTTTGATTCCCTATCAAGGGCATATTTATGGGTTGCAGGTCTGATTTCCACCCCCGGTTGGGGTGGGTGTGGAAGGCAACCAATCAATCTTACATCAACATTTCTCTTTCTCTCTTCTCTCTCTGTCCCCCTACTCCTCTTTTCCACTCCCTCGAAAATTCAACGGAAAAAAGATCCTTATTCTTTGGGTGAAAATTAAAAAGAAAAAAAAAGAGGGAAAAACAAGAACACACACACACACACACACACACACACACACACACACTCGAGGACCAGTGCACGGATTAGTGCACCCGTGGGTCCCTCAGCCTTGCCTCGAGGCTGCGTTGTCCAGTCCTGACTGGGCTGGGGAGGGACCACAGGAGGGCTCGAGGGTGTGTCCGGCCCCTCTTGCCTAGTCCCGATCAGCCAGACCCCAGCAGGAAGCTAACCTACCAATCTAATACTCAAACTACATTTGAATTTTGTTAATTAGCTTAATGTTATATCAAACGCATTTAGTTCTAGCCCTGGCCAGTTCTAGCCCTAACCACTGAGCAGTGGTTAGAGTGTTGGCCTGAGCACCAAAGGGTCACAGTTTAGATTCTGGTCAAGGGCACTTGCAGGATTGATGCTGGCCCTAGTTGGGGTACATGTAGAAGGAAACCTATTTTTACATACATATATATATATATATATATATATATATATAAATACATATATATATATATATATATATATATAATAAATAAATTTTATTGATTTTTTTTACAGAGAGGAAGAGAGAGGGATAGAGAGAAACATTGATCAGCTGCCTCCTGCACCCCCTTCCCCCCTCTGGGGATGTGCCCATAACCAAGGTACATGCCCTTGACCAGAATCGAACCTGGGACCCTTCAGTCCTCAGGCTGACGTTCTATCCACTGAGCCAAACTGGTTTTGGCAGGAAACCTATTGATGTGCCTCTCTCACATTGATGTTTTTTTCTCTGTCCTGTACACTTTCTTCTCTTCTACTCTTTCTTTAAAAATCAATGAAAAAAATATCCTCGGATGAGAATTAATAACAAAATGCTCAAGTTAGAGGTCCACAGGCTTGAACAAAAGTCCTACTGTCCGTAAGTGGGCAGGCAGGACACAGACCTGACTGCTAAAATAAAACTCACGATTAGTAAAACACATCAGGAAATTTCCAAGAGGTTGTGGGTTCTATAATGGTAGGCCACCAAAACTTTCATAATAAAGGGTCAATAATGGAATGAAATTAATTTAGATTTGTTAAAAGCTAGTAAAACTTATAAGCAGAAACCATAATTTCTAACATTTATAACAGTCACACAAAATAAATAGAGCACTGCCGACAAACTTACTTTATCTACACAGTCATCAAAAAATGCCAGGCTTGCATCTTTGTCACTGACAAAAGAACATTCCTCAATGAAGCGGATAAACATTTGCGTTTTGGTCATCATATTATAGAATTTTTGATGTGATCGGTCTCGGCTTCTTAAGAAAGCTGTTCAACATAAATTTACAATGTCAGAAAGAACTTGATCAACCATGTCATTTATACCCACCATTTTGCAGAAAAAGAAACTAAGACCCTGAAAGTAGAAATGATTTGACAAAGATAGCAACAGGAAAGAAACTTGAATCAAGATCTTTCAAATCTTCAGCCAGAACTGTCTCTGTTGTCTGCTCACTACCTTGAAGATTACACATAAACTAGTAAGTGTGAAAGCATCTTAAAACTGCAATTTCCCTCCCTCCTTTATGTATTGCCTGGTATGTGCATGTGGCTCATGCTCTCTCCATATACATATATAGTTTTTTCAAAGCAGCAGTTATATCACCTCTAATATTAACTTATGCTTGTGTCATACTTACTGTAACAGAGTAAAAGTTTATTTCCTGATTTCACATTCCACCTCATTCACTATACTCAATTACACAACACGGGTTTCCTTTTGGGCGCATGAACTCAAACTATTTCCAGCCTCAGGGACTTTGCATAAACTGTTCTCTCTGCCTGAAACATTCTTCCATTTTCCCTTTGCCTGTCTAATTTCTACTCCTCCTTTTGAACATAGCTCTTATGTGAATTCCTCACAAGGGCCTTCTGTGACCTAAAGTTGTGAACTGAAGTGTTCATTCATATTATTTTCAAACTAGAGGCCCGATGCACAAAATTCGTACAAGAGGCTTGGCCTTTGCAGCCCTGGAGGCTTGCCT